AAAATGACATGTTGAACATTCAATTATAACACAAGAAAGAATTTCAACAATGAATTCACATCTAAGGTCAGGGTCTAGTGGTTAGTCTATAATAATAATAATCGGATTTATTTAGGAACAATAGAAGTCAATGTTCCAAACTCAGATGGTGGTGAGGAAAATCTGTGTGTTGGCCTGGTGTAAGTTTTCTTTTTTATTATTATTATTATTCCCTGCTATAACAAGAGTAGACTAATGACAGGCAGTGTAATTGAACCTGTAAATCCTGCTCTAACTCCTCACTGCTCTCTCTGATCCTCTTACACATCTTGCCATCTTAAACATGAGTCACACAGCAGAAATCAGCTTACTGCTTCACACACATACACATACTCATTCCGGCCCTCCTACGCATACAAGTGAACCCTGCCGCTATTACACCATTAATAAAAAGTACCATTGTATTACCAGTTTCTCTTTCTTTTAGACATTTGCCATGGTAACACCTTGGTACTTTTAACTGAAAGCTCTCCAATAAAGCTCTAGTTCCTCATCTGAACCCAATGGGGTTTGTGTCACACTCTTAAAAATAAAGGTGCTTTAAAATGTTCTTCACAGCGATGCCATAGAAAAACCATTTTTGGTTCCACAAAGAACCATTCAGTCAAAGGTTCTGTAAATAAAAATCTCGTTCTTACCTTTTTATAATCTGAAGAACCTTCAACAGAAAGGTTCTGCAGATGTTAAAGGTTCTTTATGGAACCATTTAGACAAAAAGGTTATTCTATGGCATTGTCAAGCACCTTTATTTTTAAGAGTGCAGGTTTAGGTTTCTCAGAATTTTATATCAGATAACATTTTTACTGTTCAAATGTTCAGTGGTAAGATGTCTTATGCTCACCAAGGCTACATTAATTTGATCAAAAAAATGTAATTCATATTGTGAAATATTTTTACAATTTAAAATAACTGTTTTCTATTTTAATATATTTTAAAATGTAATTTATTCCTGTTATGGTGAAGCTGAATTTGTAGCATCATTACTCCAGTCTTCAGTGTCATGATCCTTGAGAAATCATTCTGATATGTTGATTTGTGATACATTTTTTTCAGGATTCTTTGACAAATACAAAGCTCAAAAATCAGAATTTATAGAAATATTTTGTAACAATGAAAAATACTTCACTGTCACTTTTGTTGAATAAAAGTATTTATTTCTTAACCACAAAAGTTTGAACTGTAACATAATTATAATCAAATATGTCTTAAAAATGGATGATTAAAATCTAATAAACATTTTAAAAATTTAATAATTAATGTATTATTATTTATTATTGATGTAAATAATAAATCAAATTATTATTATTATTATTATTATTATTATTATTATTAATTTAATTATTATAATTAATTTAAATCATACAAGCTGAAATCTTCCCCTCCATCTAACTCTCAATGATGTCAATGGCATTGAGATTTTCATTGAATAACAATTTAAATGTTGGTCCTTTGCTTGTATAATGCTGTCATATGCATTCAGAAGATCTGAATATAGTGTGCACCTCATATATATCACTTTTTTGGTACTTTTTTATCATTTTGAGCTTGACAACAGTAGGCAACATTCACTTTCATTACATTGCAAAGAGAAACATTTGAAGCAGCCTTTTTTTATTCCACAACATAATTAAAGTCTATTACATTTATCAAGATAAACCAGAGGGTTAGCTTTGCTCACGTTGAAGCAGATCATTAGAATTGTGTAGCTCGATTGATGTGCTGGGTAATCTTTAAGCAAAGAGTGTCAGAGTCAGTTTGCTAGAGCTGGAAGTGTGACCTTCTGTTAATCCATTAAAGCGACTGGTTAATCAATTAAGCTGGAATTCACGGTCAGCCACAACAATGCTACACAACAGATAGAGGAGAAAACAACAAAAACGCTGGCCTGGAACACTCCGCCAAGGTGTACATCCCTACGGACGTTTTCCCACAATCCCCCGTATCGTGTGGATGACCACTCACACGTCCGCATCTGTGACAAGAGAGAGGGGAATCCGAGCATGTAATCAATCGATACTTGCTGGAAACCTCTGGACCCCTTATACTGATACACATTGACACAGCGGCTAAAGCGAATCAATGAGCGCTCCAGTGTGAAGGGCAGGGAGATGCACACCTCCATTGAGAAAGATGAACTGAGCAAAGAGAGAAAGAGAGAGACTCTAGTCACTGATTCCATCTGACTTGGCCGGTGTAAGCAGCACCTATTGATTTTCCAATCAACTACAAGGCCAGGGTTCACACAAACGTACACTCACACACACACTCCGCCACTTGAGCTAGGAACTCCGCTACTCAAGAAAACTGCTACCTTGTTTGAACGCACACACAAAGCACTCTTGGCAGAATCATTTTGCTGCCTTTAGAGGGAATTTGATAAAGTGGAAAAGCATTTGTCCACTATCAGACTGGTTTTATCACACAAACAAACACACATTTACAGGGTGGGAATTATTAGGGAGGTCTCAGCACCGCAGTTATATCTTGAGCCCCCCTGAAAACTAGTTTTTTTTGTTTGTTTGTTTTTTCAGGATTACGATACACTTTGGTGTCCTATTATTTTTTTTATAAAAGCATTAGAGCAGTGTTATTATTGTTAATTAAACGTAAAATAAAAACTATTAAAACATATGTTCTGTAATTGAAATAAAGCAGAAATTAAATATAAATATTAGGTGAAAAACATACAATTAGAATACTTAAATGACAATTAGAAATGTTGCCTTGGTAACTAAATAAAGAAAGAAAGAAAGAAAGAAAGAAATATAATATAATATAATATAATATAATATAATATAATATAATATAATATAATATAATATAATATTATATTATATTATATTATATTATATAAAAAATTACAAGCACATAACAAAATCGCTAAAATGTAGCCATTATGTTGTGTTGCAGTTATTTTGACCTGGAGAGGATTTATTTTTCACAAAAATGCTAGTTAATGTTGCACTAATGCATTGCACTACAAACTTGCTCACATACAGTATAACTTAACAACTGCTTATAAATTTCATGTTATGCTGTATTATTACCAAATATTGGATTCAATCTAGCAACTGGGTTCCTTTCCATTATAATGGGTTTTTAGATCAATGATGCCTACGATCAATCAGCTCCAAAATGAAATACAAAAATCTGCGCTAATTGAAAGAAAACAAGTTGACAAAAAGATTGAATCCAATATTTGGTAATAATATAGCATAATGTTAGATTCACAAGCAAATTTTAAAAGGTTGTACATTTTTTACTGGGATCACCAAATTAGTTAAATGATTTTCAGCACAAATAAAATCAAAACAAAAACTGATAATATCAAAATAAAAGCTCATTTAAAATATGAATACATAATATAATAGTACATAAATTATACAAAAATAACACTAAATTGTAGGCACAAATCCTAACAATAAACCATAATAGAATATAAAACCTAGCATGAAAAATAGCTAGGTTTTAAGTTACAATAAGATCACATTTTTATACAAAATGTGTTTATCAATAACTACAAACCAACATTTGGTCCCAATCTAGTTAGATGTAGTGAGTCATAGCTTAATTTAGGCTGAATTTGCAACCATATTAGTCATTCTCAGACAAACCTCCCTGGACATTACCCCCATGAAAATCTTTGTGTAATGTTGTACGCATACCGTGTTAGATAATATTGGGAATGAGTGAGAATCATCCATTCTGACAGTAGAGCATTACATGTCTTGATTCAGCTCCATTTTGTTGAATTGTCCTATTTTTCGGTTTCCACTCCATCCAGACAAAATGGGAGATATTAAGAAAGGCCAAAATGAATTAGGACTGATTAACAGAGTTCTTTAAGACCATATTGAGAACATTAGAGTAAAGGTCATTGCACACTGGGTCCGAAAATTTCATCCGAAATTTTCGCACGTTAAAAAATAAATACGACCTCACATTATGTCAATCAGGTTTACACACTGCCTCCGAAATTTTCGTCCGGCATAAATGTTTTTTTTTTTTCTCTGTTTTTCGCATCCGTTGCAGGCATTTTGAGAGGTGTTTTGACAGTTCAGAGACACCATACAAGCGAACGCTAAAATCCAGAATGGCGATTGTCAAGTTCATCCACTTCGCACAAAGGACCGTAAAGATCCTTGCACACTGAGTTCACAGAAATTGGTGGTCTTCTTTTTAATAAACTCTCCGTCCTCTCTATATCGCAGTATTGGATGGACCCAATATTTCCTCTCTTTTTTCTCTTTTTAAGAGGCGAGAAGACAACAAAATCATCCTCACTGCTTGAAGAATCGATTTAGTGCTGTTTTGCGAATTTTTTCGCAACTGATTAATTAATACGTATCGGACTCAGTGTGCAAAGTTTCTGTGCGTGACGAATTTTTAGGATTTTGAATACGAAAAAAAAACGCATACGAAAATTTCAGACTCAGTGTGCAGAGACCTTAAGAATAAAATCAAAGACAGGGGCTTTCGTTTCCATTTTGACACCTCAGATGAATGTTCAATGAAAAAAAAAAAAAACACAAATGAAAAATTTAATTGTAAAGTCCAAAATCTATTTTGGAGATTGAGCCTAATTCATTATGCAGCCAGTAAGAGGGTCACCAATCTTTCAGCCATTAAACTATACACAAAAATATATATATTTATAACCATATGGAATTTAGCATTTTTAGCATTTTCTGTGCATAATTTGGGGGGGAAATTGTCCAGAATGTTCACGCATGCCTAAAGTTGCTGACCCGATCCTATTTAGACTCCCAAATAACACCCATCGTTTTCCACACTTTGAAACCAGAATGACCTTCCCACCCTTTGAATGACAGAGCAAATAAACTGCAAACTGCAGTTGCAAGGCTTCCTTTACAGATTTAGAATCTTAAAATGTATGAAAACATAACAGATTTTAAATCTGCGGTTACTTTAACAGCCCAACCATGCAAGGTATGTCTTACCTGGGACGATGGAGACAGTGTCCTTCTCCCAGGACACCACACTGACGTACTCCTGCACAGCAGAGGGGATGAGGCACTTGAAGACGGCCACGTTGCCCCGCATGGACCTTTGGTCCGCCACACGAACTGTGTAAGGTTCCCTGAAGACTGTTCATGATGAGGCAGAAGAAAAACAGAGGTTGGAATTTATTTATTACTTGTTAAATAAAATTAAATTCAATTTTGTATAATTGTACATTTATATTTTATATTTTTACAGACTTGTTCAAAAAGAAAATAATCCTCTAATCAAGCATGAAAGTGAGATATCCTTTTCTGGTTATTTAATTTAATTTTATTTTATTTTCATCTAACGCAATATCACCAATAATATTAATGGCAGACCCAAGAGTAAGACATTTAAAATAATCATAATAATAATAACTAGTGCTGTCAAGCGATTAATCGCGATTAATCACATCCAAAATAAAAGTTTTTGTTTACATATATATGTGTGCACTGTGTATATTTATTATGTATATATAAATAAACACCCATGCATGTATATATTTAAGAAAAATATGTTACGTTTATATATTAAATATATTTATATATAATATAAATTATATGAATATAAATATATACATGTAAATATTTGCAAAAGATAGGCTGTGTGTGTGT